ATATTATCGGGGTTGACATTCTTGTGGAAAACGGATCAAAAATGAGTTTCGTGAATCGTTTGTGCTGTGAGAGTCCTGTTGTTGGATTCAGCTCTTCTAACTGGTGTCTTGATATGACTCTTTTTAGTACATGATTGAATTGTTGCTGTTATTTAATAGTTAATTCGTGTGACTTTGTTTCTTGTATAATTGTATTTCCACACTTTCTGTGTTTGTTCTGATGACTGAAACGTTTAGGAAGGAAACTCTGTCTTCTGTTTCCTCCACTTTTGTAAATTTATTGTCATCAAGAATGTCGCTGATCAACTTGTGAGAGTTGAAAGTTCTCTTCTCTTTAAAATAAGGCATATGTTATCTGTACGATGTATTTAAATATTTGACTTTACTCAAAGGCAAACAAACTGAAATAACTAAATTCTTAGTAATCTGAACTTGATTGTTGTAGAAAGGGAGAGTCATTTGTGAAACATGAGATATATTACGTTTCCTTCTACTGAAAATCCATCCGCTTATATACCGAAAAAAATTTTAATGTCCTAACTCAGTAGTTATCATATTAACACTCTAACTCTTGGCAAACACATTCCACAATGAAATAATATTGCTGTGAATTTCTCTAATTGTTAAGTGTTTATTTGGCCAGTGATGAAGAATTGAAAAGCTAATTGTTCCATATACACGAATTATGAATACCACACGTAATGCAACAGAACACAACACATATTGCTTGTCATGTTCAGGTCAGATTGAGGATACACAGACAATTGTTTCTGCATTAATGGTTAATGATATTCGTTGTTTGAATGTCATTCCATTGCTTGTTTCTGTATGCTCATATTGTGTCGGAATGAATATGATGGTGTTAAGGAAATACTACATTGTTCGAATCAGTTCTGATTCAGGTCACTGATAATGTATGCATAAATGATAATATGGTTTGAAATTCCCTTATGAGAAATTACCATATGAAATGAAAATAACTGATATTTTCTTGCTATAACTTACATATGCGTGTAAATTATTTGAGCATTTTAAATTCTATTATTTGAAGATTAAATTGAGAATATTGGTTTACTTATGAATGAGATATACCTAGTTGTTGTCACACACTGTATAATAATTCTGACTTACATAATAGCAGTCATATATTTACTGTTGAATTGTATTAATATTTAAAACAAAATGTATATAGAGTAGTCAGATCTCTTAACTTATTATCCAGTTGTTAAGTAGTTACTCTTAAATGTAAGTTTAGATATCCCGTGATATGATAGAACAAAAAGGATGACACGATTTACGTCAATATTTTTTGTATCGATTCACTATGAACTACGGTCAGGGCGATTGATGTGAACTTCGTTCAGTGTGAATTATATTTCCTGTATCAATTCAGATAAGCTGTATTCAGTGTGCTGTTACAGTATCTCCTTGATTTTTCTCCTATATGTGATATTACTACGTATAGAAATTAGTATACAAAGGATTGTATGTTAATCTAATGATTACATTTATTGTTAAGACGTGCTTTTCAAAAGCCAGTAAATCTTCATTGAACCAGTCTTTCGTGTTTTTCCTTTTGGTTCATAGAATTTGCAAAGGCTTATATACCCAAGTGTATGCAGTAGCATCGTGGAATTATAGTGGTTCTCAATTGTTAAGCCAACAGAATCTATGAATACATAGCAGCGAAGAAACCCCAGTGGTGATTATGATTTTAGCAACAGATAGAGAAATAGTGTCCTAGTAATCTTTCATGTCGGATATTTATGATACTTCCGGTGTGAAATGATGTCAGCTACATGCCCTGTGTAAATACTTTCATGGGAAATTATCAGTTGTCGATACTTTTGTTTATAATAAACAAATTACTTCTACATTTGGTTCCCCTAGGGAACAATGTCATTCTGAAAAATATTTTATTCACTTAGAATGTTGTAATAAGATTTTTGTTCAATTTTTTATCGCGTAACTTGTTTTGGGAACGATCTAATATAAATAAGCTGTGTTTGTTATGAAAATTATATTTACACGAAAAAATAAATGGTTCTATCCATGAATTTCACTAGTTACATATCCATTGATAAACCTTGCAAATTAATTTTAACTTCCACTTGTCTTACGCCTTTGTTTCTCATCCATAGACTTTAATTTTACAGAAAGGCGAGGCTTGTTGGGACGTTAGATCCCCAGAACTCACTTGGGAAAGGACCTAATTTTGTAATTTTATTCAGAAAATTTGAATTTCTTTGTTTTCGCGCCAAAGGCGCTCTTGTCACCTTCATGTCGTATTACGCACTGGGAAATATCTTAAATGCTTCTGGTTCGTTGCGTCTTTTAGTATCCTATTTGGTAACTCTCCCTAAGGACGGTTTTGTACTGTACATATACGTTTTGAATCGTGTTTGTTGTTATCGCTCGTTTCTGGCTGTTTGCAGAACATACTTTACCATTCCAAGCTTCGACTTCTCCCTCTAGTTAGCGGGCTGGGACGCTCACCGAGTCTTGTTTCTCGTTCGCAGATTAAGTGAACTCGTGATAGCTTCAACCCTAGCAAGGCTAAATAAAATTATTAAACTACGCATTATGATTATTATTACACTTAATTATTATTCTTTCGTTTGGCTGTGCATCAAGATTTTCAATATGATTCAAGTAAATTCCTCATCGGAAGGATCTTTACATTCGTGACTACTTTCTTTAAATCATTATTGAGTACTAAAAACTCTACTTGACACTATGCCACAGCTACAGTATTATACAAAAAAGCAAAAATCAATGTACATAATTCGCTATATACACTTTGTTGAACAGAGTAAGAAAAATCAGTAGTTTAGTATATACAACTGCGAAATATGGATCAATTGGCATGATGTTTGAGAATTGTTAAGAACACCAACATGGTTCCAGGTACATCTAACTGGCAAGTTAAAAATCCAATGACAATTATATTCTATTATTTAACCTTTCTCATAAGCTTTCGATTAACTGCTTCGAAATAACATGTACTAAAAGTAGTTCATGATGTTAAATTGCCCGTGTTGAGATTAGTGGAATCGAATAGAAAAGCCATTTCAGAAGCTGGTTCGTTAAGATGATCTGTCAGTATGGGTTGTGGAGACTACTGAACTTCACTGCAATCACGAACCAGTCAAAGTTAGACAGCCATTGAAAACCTGGAAGCACCGGAAAGCCACTTCGTCTCAGTACGGGGAAACTCACCAGTGAGAATCCACGACCCTGGAAGCAAGAATCGAACACACGACCTTGGACCTCGCACACAAACACTACCTCTAGACCATTTAGCCGGACTTCAATACATTTTTCTCGGAAATTATTCTCAGAAGGTTCACCAACAGTAATTTATAATCTACAATTTAGACTACATAGACTTGCCTTACACAACCATTCCTCTTTCATTTGCCTGTGATCACACTCGTCAAACCGCCTTAACGAAAGTGATTGGCGTTGGTAAAAATCGATTACTAAAACGATGATGAACAGTGTATGTGTTTTAGACCATGGTTTTTAAAGGATAATATAAGATATATATGATAAAAGATTATATTTTATGATGATCTGTTGGGAATAGTTGAGAAAAATATTGATTGTATTAGTCAGTGGTAGTTTGGTTGATGACAATGATCTTCGTCTAAAGAAAGCCAGGGTAGTTATTTGTTTAATGTTCAGAATAATTAAAGTATCAGAAACAGTAAAGCCATTCGAAACATGATTAATAAATTTGAGTAATCAACAATAAATATAAAAAAACATTTTGAAGAACCATCATTCTAAGAAGAAATCAAGTCGGAAACTACAAATCACTCAAGAATCTAATTGTAACGTTTGGAGTCTATTCAGGGTCATAGGCACTTTCTTACCAACTTTTAGTATCATAAAAATGAAAACAAATTAGTGGACGATATTATTAGCGTTTTCTGCTTTGTAACAATGTGATATAATATTTTTAGGGAACATCACTACTTAGAATTAATGTAACTCATTTCCCTAATACATGTTTATCGACTTAGCTTTAAATCAAACTGTTTAAGTAAAGCCAATTAGTACTATCCAAAGTCACGTTCAATGCTGTTACTTACACTAGTTAAATGTGTTTAATAACAACTCCACTCAATTGTTTATATATCAAACTGTTTCAACTACCCTGTTACATAGAAATACACAATTAAGAACTAAATATAATGCAAGACATGAGTTAATATCTTAGAATAAGAGAGGATATAGAGCTTTAACTTAACAATAAAAATAATGCAATATTTTGTTTAATAAATTCAATAGTAATTTAAATAAATTCTTATCCACAAATAATTAATAAAATGGTTTAAACTTTCTAAAAAATATATGAATAAAACAAAATTCTAATAAACCGCTTTGATTTTACTAGCATTGAGCTGTTAAATTTGAACTCGGAAAATTTAAAATTCGGATATCAACTCTGGATCTTCAAAAAAAGAGGGGAAGTGTTATATCCCGATGAGAACGATGAATGATAACTTTTGGGATCCATTTATGAACCAATATTATACGTATATTTTTGTCGTGTAATTGTTAAGTGACTAAACTATGCATATTCGTGTTCCTCTTATTATAAGCTTTATTTTGACCTATGAACTGTTATTATACGATTTACCATTCTTGAGTTATACCCAGTCTATCAATTACAACCTCCCACATTCACAGCCACATTTGGCTAAATCTTGTACAAATGTTGTTTCATATTTTATGGTACGATGTGGTCTGTTTAGTTGGCACGTAAATCCAATATGTTTGAAATAAATGATTCATATCGCAGAGGCTGAGATTGGTGTTCTGAACTTAACAGGCTGGGCCGATAAGGACTCTAGACTGCTCGTACGGGTTTTATGCGTCATTGGTCCGATCAGTAATTCACTGTTCTCTAATTGGCTGTATCATCACGTGATACATTAATAGGAAACAGGGCACAAGTTATAATAAAACTATTCTTTCATGTTTGTTTGTTTTTATTTATCTTTAACACAATGTTCATTATCTTGATATGCTAAATCTTCACGTAGATTCATTCCTGTAGAAAAGAAGAAAAACAAATTCATTTATAAAGAAAAATAAAAAGTTCATTCAAAAATAAATTAGTTGTTGTATCAAAATTTTAGTTTTACATTAAGATTATTATATTTCATTTTATGAAGGTCAGGAAGAAAACTATAACTGAAAACAACATAAATGTTAAATAGTCTCACTGAAATGATTCATATAAACAAATATACTTCTAAGATCTATTTCATGAAAGACTGATTTCAACTAGAAAAACATTCAGGAACAGGGAACAAATGGATAGATATTCTTTCTTCTTGACTAGAACTATTCAGTCACGATTCAATACTATATTATCAAGGATTATTGTTTTATTCTAAGAATTAATAGAAGTTCGAAATATGGACGAGTGACCATGAGATTTGGAAATTTCGGATTCGGTACCTGATAGTATCATAAATGTTTACTACTAAATAGAATGAAACAGCTTTCTAATGTACCATAGTTGTCAAACAGTGACAATAAATACATTTAAATTGAACTAAGCTCCACAATCGACTAACAGAACGTAATTCTACTGCCGGATGTTTATATAGATATTTTTTAATCTCAATGTAAAAAAGGACTCAATAGTTAACATGATGAAAAAAATGCTAAATATTGGAATCCTTAACATCAATTATATATTTTGTCTGTAATAATTCATTTCATAACTTGTTTAACCGCTGTGCTGATTTGAAACTATGACAACTAAAACGAATTCATATTTTCTCAGATCACGTGTTTTTTATGTTAGTGGAATAGTAAATAGTGTGAATGAAAACAGTGATTAGAATCTACATCCATATATCTCAGTTAGGTAATTACTAGACAATTTTTTAAAATGAATTAAGCAATACAAGACAGATCACTTTATTTATTTATTATTTTATTTATTTGAACACGTAAATATTGGTACAAAGGAGCATAGAATACATATGCGCTACACAAATCATTTGATTTGAGAGTTGGATGTGATACTGTCCGGGTGCCCAGATTGAGGTAGACGGTTTTCTTAGGGAATCACACCCAAAGCTTTTCACCTAAGGATCTGATCTAAACGGCAGTGGGCAACGTAAGGAAATGCAGTCCCATGGCAGCCGGTGACCAACAATTGGTTCATACGCCGTTTGTTTCCTCAAGATCCTGGAGCTCATATGCAATATTAGTTTGGAATCCATATCCATTAACCCGGTTAAAACGCTGGACATTCGCTTTTCGTCCTCTCGATTTCGTAAACAACACCCCCGCCACGAGGAGGCAGTGAGTAGGACTTCCCTGGCAGTGGCTGTATGCGCGTGGCCATGTGAGAGCATTTCGAGAGGGAAAGCGAACTCTCCCACGCTCGACCGTACCAAGGAATTTGGGGGCACAGAACACTTTTGACTATCTGAATGATACGATCATATGAAGATATTATTATGACTCCACTTACTATAAACATTTTTCTCAGCATCGACGAGTTCCATTTGAATAACTGCTGTTCGTATTAACGTTTCGCAATCTTCTGCATTTTTCAATAACTATACAAAATGTAAGATAAAACAATAACAATGTATATATGTACAGTGTAAAAATATTAGTCTAATAAACAAATTATAGACTGAACAGCCAAGGCAAAAATATATCTAAATTTGTTATTGAATTATGGTGGTTCAGATACAACGATAAAATATCAATTCCTTCGTAAATACTGACGGGTGACAACTGGTACGAAACTTCCTGTCCGTCATCTTCAAATATATAATACGAAAACTGTTTATTATAACGAAATAAATGTGAAAATAGTCAATTACATTAGGCAGTAAGAAATAATGAATTGAAGTTTGATCAAAGGATTTATATTTATTTATGTATTTGAGCACATAAATATTGGTACAAGAAGGCACCAAATATATATGAGCCACACAAATCATTAGATTATTGTGAGGGTTAGAATACTGCTTGAGCACTCAAGCCAAAGACGGTTTTCTTAGAGGGCTACTCCCACAATCCTTTGACCTAAAGGTCTAATTCACAAGGCAGTGAAGCAACATTAGGAGATACAGTCCCATGGCAGCCGGTGACCAGCAACTGGTACATAGGCTATTTGTTCCCTTAGGATCTTGGAGCCCATGTGTACCACTGGATTGTAATCAGGGTTTCCCAATCCTCTAGGTGAGTCCTCCATATCCACCAACCCGGCTAAAGAGCCACACATTCGCTTTTCTTCCTCTCAATTTCGTAGACAACAACACCGCCGGGAAAAAGCAGTCAGTAGGACTTTCTTGGCAGTAGCTGTATACTGCAAAGGATGAAATGTTACAGTTTAATAATGTTTAATATAACAAATAAAACTGAGCAACCAACTTCAAGTTTTTTTACTCAGTTTTGTGCTGAATTTTTCGTGTATAACAGTTATTTATACTACCTAGTTGCATTAAAGTAAGTTTTGACCCTTTAACTTAATGGTGCGGATTTAAGTATCGTGATCAACAAATTACGGCTCAACATAATAAGCATTAGAATTCAATGTGTTTTCATGTACGCGGGTTGAAAGCAGTTAACAAGATGCCCTGAATATACGTCTCTCTATAGCTGGCAGTCGTTAGCACAGTGTACTTGCAATCTTGAGAGAATTGATGCTCCCTGGTGGACTCGAACCCTTATCATTCAGTCCCACAGTCATCTCTTGTAGGACTGAGATATTTACAACGACTAATCATTGAGTAGTGGTCAATGTCATTTTTTTCTAAACCTTACTGTTAGTCGAATACTAAAGATCAAGTTTCAGGGTTTCCCGTCGATTACCTCCAATTAATTATTATCAAAACAAGTACTGGCGATTTCATATCACTTAGACTAGTGACCACATTGCACCTTGAAAACCAGGCAACTGTGACATTGGTCACTGTTCATTGATTAAACAACATAAATAAATATTTTCAGTTATGTTAGTGATAAAAAGCAAGTGTTCAGTGATTACAATATAGATTTTTTTTAAATGAAAAAAAGTCACTTAACATGCCGATTGTCATTCGGTTATTTTTTATTTTATTTTTAACACATAGATATTGGTACAAGGAGGCACCAAATACATATGTGCCACACAAATCTCATTCGATATGTGTGAGGGCTGTGATACTGCCCGGGTGCCCAAACCGAAGCATTCAGTTAACACTTAAACTAAAAGCAATAAGATTATGTCACTTTAAAGCATTAGAAATAGAGATAACTGAAAAAGTAATCACTATGAATAATCATAAATATGATCTAAAATTGATATCAAATGACTCACTTCGTTTATTTTTTCAGTATCTGTTTCATTTCGATTAGCTCGAAACTCCGAATTAATCTTTTCTCTGGCGGCTAGATAGAAACATCCACAAGCACACACATAAGCACAAATATTTTTATAAATAAACAAGATAAAATTTATACTTAACTGACACATAAAATACATATGAATGGTTAATAATAAAGTAGATTATCCATATCGAAATTTTCTATTTAGATATTTAGAATAAAAGACAAAAAGACTGAAGAACTTAATTTTCAACTAGTTTCTCCGTACGGTATTATGTACTAACTACTCCAGAGAAGTCGGTGATATCACCCTTATTATTTGTAATCATAAATGGCTTTGCAATAAATATCATACATCATACCCAACGTAGATCCAGGCAAATATGTAAATCGGTTCGAGCTGCCACAACACATCAGCACAGTGAATTGCCAGATTAGTAGACATAGTAACAGCATAAATTATAGTAAAAAATATTAGACATAGAAGAAATAATTTGGAAAGAAAGAAATAGATCGATATAATAAAAAAACAAATACTTAAGGTAATTAAGAAGCTTGAGATGTAGCAGAATATAGAGAGCGAAAGCATTTACGCCACTGTGACCAACTCTGAGACATGCCACCACCCAAAGGCGGCGGCGTTATAATTCATAGACGAACAAACCAGATTGACGAAAATGCCTCTTGAAATTTCTTGCAAAACTCATTCTTACAATGATGCAAGTCTGTAATAAAAACCCGAACTCTTATTCCAAACCTAACTCTTAATACTAATTCCTTGCATGAATTCATAAACTTACTTTGACCTTAGTAAGTGGTTGGAGTTTCTCAAGACTACTTAAGTATCACTCAAAAGTCTTTCAGGAATTAAAGTCGCGCAGAAGAGGAAAGTACGTTGAGGTGTTCAAAAGATAAAGTTCAACTTGTCGCTAATATAATTGAAGTATCAGAGTTTGGTGTGTAAAGCACCACAGAATTTTCCACTTTACGTTCACAACTGTACAAAGTATACATTTTCGTTTTATTATGATCTTTCAGTAGCTTTTCAATCAATTAGTCAATCAGTTTATGTTAGTGCACAACCTGCAAAGTGTGTATCGATCTAAGTTGTTAAATTTAACTTCAGAACAAACAGAAGAGAAATAAACAAGATAAGAAACATAGGATGAGAAATTTCACCAAAACTAATGAAAATCTAAACATGAAGAATAAAGTTCAAAAAGGGAACAAATATAATTGAATAATGGAAAGTTGGAAATATTAAATGAATCAAGATTTAAATGATGATAGAGAATAAATGAAGCTATGCCCTACTGTGACTTATCTTACATCATGTCATCGTCACTCACCATTTTCAACCTTAATGATTTTATAATGGATATCAGTTTTTAAAAAGTACGTTGAACTAATATCTATAATACAATTCTTAGTATTCATTAAAGAAAGTTGATAAAAAGAATCCGTACGTAATCATCCATTCATCGTTTTGTAGAAAATTCAACCAACCTATCGGTCCATTTATTTATTATCAATATTTATCCTTAGCTAAATAAATTTGTATGATAACTGTGTTCAAAAGTCTTTTCTTTTCAACAATAGTTTAAATAATAGTGAAATGAGTAAAACAAAATTGTTCATAAACAGTTGGATATCAGATTTTCAGAGGTAATCACAAGAATATATGGAACATTAACTTCCAATGACTTTGTAATAAACATTAACACAGAGAAAGTAAAGATTTCGAAAGAAAAAAAAGAAACTGTGTGTTGCTCATGATACTTCAATCTACAACATTAACTCAACATGATAGTTGTAAATTATTTTGAAGATATATGTACGTGCATAAACTCACAAACCAACTATATAAATATTGGAATTTACCTTGTAGTGTTTCGATATCAGCTTTAAATACATTTTCACATGTACGGTGAAGTTTTTTAAATATATTCAAGGCCTAAATCATAAAAGAAAATTAGTTTATCATTCTGTAAATACCAACAAAAAAGAGAAAAAAAGGTAAATTAATGGAATAATCAAATATATGCCATTTATGCAATGTTCAACAAAGACAAACAGAAAAGGCTGTAAAAAAAATATTTTAAACTTGTTACTAACTATATTACGCTAAAAGTCAACCATAATCTAGATAATAACTTCTATAAAAGATGACGAACTATCACATTGAAATTACTGCTGTTATCTGAGAGTTATTCAACACACAGAAGAAACAGTTATAATGATCAAAGAAAAATGTTTATTTTTCAGTCAAAATTATTAGTTAACTAGGGAAAGTTTATTAATACATTCCAGTGTAAAATCAGACCATCTGAAATAAAAACTAATACTTTGTAATTGGAAATGAAGTTTGAAAAACACCAAACAACTACAGTTGGTATTATAAGACAAACTTAAATAATATCTAGTACTTGTTCCAATAAACTGAAATACAAAAAACCTTAATTTAGCCTTTTTCTGAAACAAAATTATCTTTTTACTAATTCTAAAAATCCAGTTAACCTATTATTAAAAATGTTATATAAGCTTCACATTTAGATAAGACTGAACATACTCATAAATGTTAACATTAGTGAAGTTAAACAACACTAACACATTGGCAAATATACAGATTCACGTTAGTTAAATTGAGTGTTTGACCACAGATTAAACAATCATTTTATATATTACAAAAATAGTAGCTGATAGATTATGCAAAACAAACATGTGAGACAAACATAAGGTTATTTGTTTTCACCATACAAAATAACTCATATATGTTTAAACAGACCTTATCAGTTGAAGCGATAAGAAACACTTTTCAGAGTTACGTAATATAATTTCCAGTATGTAAACTGAACAAAGAATAACAAATAGTAGCGGAGAGTAGAATTCCCTGTTACAAATCAGTCTATATATATAAAAAAACTTGGAAGCTTTATCAGTCAACCGTTGGGAAAAGCGACAATCACATCTCTTATTTATAAGTAACTAAATCATGCCAGGTAAGTTATTAATGTAGTCAGTAAACCTAATGACTAAACAATTTAGTACTTATTTTGATAACGGATAATCCATAAATCAGTGAAATATGTAAGTGTGACCTAATCAGAGAATTAACGTTTATAATATATCGCTTAACAGCCATTTGTCACTCACGTAACTCAAAAATATAAAACTTACTCGTGCACGTTGCATTACAATCATATATAAGACGACATCTAGAAAAAATGTAAACAGTAGTTATATGAGCAAATAACTTATGGATTCGAACTAGATAATTATGATAATTAATAAATGATGGTTTGATTGCTTCACAGTAAAGAAATAACCAATAAGAGAGAAATTTTGATAGGTGTAGATTAGTAGCATAGAAATAACTGCACAATAAGCTTGAGAGCATTGGACTCGAACTATTTCGATGACTTTATCCTGTCAGGTCGGTTATATCAACATTTTCTATACAATCAAACTGAAGATTTAAGCCGAAGACATAGATTCAAACTGAGTCAGTGTCATGCAAAAAATTGCTTTTGGTGAAGTTTAAAATTGTGGGAAACCATGTAAAGAAAAATACAACTGTCAGGAATGTTAATGGGATTAGTAAATAATTATGTTTTTGGTTTGAAAGTATCTATGAATTTCCTATTCCATCTTTATTTGGATATGTTCTAGCATTTATATTGTTCCAGTTGGTACATTCAGGTATATGCGAACTGTCATCACTTATACTTTCACACATTAAGCCAAAAGACGTATGCAACATGTTTCTGTATAAACGTGGCAAAAACAACAATATTGATTATTTACATTGCCATTACTAAAGTGAAATTTTAAGTTATGTTGATACGGCTATAAACATACATCAAAACATAACTGTGAAAGAAAACAATAGGAAACAGATTATACGATGACATGAAATTAGATATCTACGTTTTAGCGTGTAATGTAACTGATTTACTAGTTATCGGTTTATTTATCTTACTTCTAATCACAGTGTTTTTGTGATGATTAGCACTGATACTCTGTTGTCCGAAATGGAGTACATAGTGAAAGGTTCGAACTTTACAACGTATTACTTGAAATGTAAATACTTTAACAATTAAATCACTGCTAATTCCTATAACAATATTGCCATCTTTAATTATGCTAATATTATCGATTATGAAATATGTAAACATGAACTTAATATTGTTTTAGTGAGAGATAAACCAATCATGAATTTCATCAATGAATATTACATTATCCTTTAACTTCATCCATGTAACTTTTAAATTAGGTCAATGATAGTGATTCAATATGATACATTCAATTAAGGAAATAAAAATTAGATTTATATTTTGTTTAAATAAAAACAAAATAAGACAGAACATGAAATTTTTATTATTGGTATCATTATTAACAATATGAATATAAAACAGAAATATTCTAGATGTAAACATAAAAAATATAAACAATCAAAGTAAACAGAATGAAACTGAAATTACTGATTTGAAAATGTAAACAACAATTGTTAAAACAAACATAGAACTAATTGATAATAATTATTAAAAAAAACAATTGTGAAATAATGAAACAAAGAAAAAAGAAGGAGAATAACAACAACAACAACGACGACGAATTCAAGAAATAAGTGAAATTATAAACAACAATAAAAGTATAAAATAACTAATAATGATTATGTAATAAAATAATGTATAATCAGAAGAGTATCAGTATAAATGAACTAAACATTTAATGTATACAGAAAGGGAAAATAAACAAACAAACAAAAATACAAGATGTACACAACAGGGAAAATGATTATATTTTTGAGAAGAAATTTAATGTAAATTTTATAAAACTAACATGAATAACATGTGAATAATTGGAAATAAATTGTTTTAACCAATTAATGTTATAATTATTATTCAATTTTCGATGAATTAACAATAATTGAATTGTATTTGGTTTCATGGAATTATTCATCCACTGTCCTAAAGTAGAAAAATATAGAGAGGGAAAGAGAGAGAGAGTAAAAAAGTACACTCACATATACACATACACCAATGTACATAAGTAATTAATTATTTAATAAAGAAATGATATAATAAAGTGATAATTAAAGACTAAATGAAACATGGAACATTATTGATACATAATACGTATTCTTAGTCAACTTAATAAAGAATAATAAATATTTACCTGTAATATAAATTTTCACTAATATCTCTATTGAGCTTACAAGGAATGCGAGGAAAAACAATACATTTGATGATATTCAATAATCATTTACAAATTCAAATAATAACTACTTAGAAGATAGAGAAAACTGTCATTTTTGTGTTTAATTGTCTTTATTTAAATTCTGAACAAGCATTTAATGAAGTAGTGTAACTATTTCAAGATTATTCTAAAACTAACTTTTAACATATATGATAATATTGTTTTGTTGCGTTTTCCATTTGATTCAAGTGTGTCTGTGGCCAACTGCGTTTGATATCAATGAGGAATGATGAAATATAGTTCCTTAACTAACTTACTTTACTTTTATTGACTTAATCGCGTTATTGCATTCAGCGGAATAAAGCAAGTCAAATACGAAAGTGACTACGAATACATATATTTTATACATCTTTTACTGTAGACAACCAATGAAGGGTGAGAAACGGAGAAGGTAAACGTGCCCACTCAATAAATGATGAGTAAGAGTATTACCAAGCATGAAAGAGATGCAAGTATACTGATACAAGTTCTATCATACGCATATCCCCAAGGTTATGCACATAAATAACAGAATGACTACAAGGATTAAAAGGTTAAGATAAATCATGTAAGTGTTTAATGAACTAATTGTTACAATTTCGTTTGATTTACAGAAACTTTTGTGAAAACTTCAAGTTTGCAACGTTTGTGATCATAACCTAAACTTGTTCTATTTTCGACTGCATTTTATAAACATGATATTGTTGTCATATTCCCGCACGTAATAATGTTTCTGATTCGCTATGGGACATGATAAATCCACCCGACCGTTGTTGCTACCTTGATGTGGTGGTCGGGCTTGCCTATTGTGATGAAGCAACCAAGCTATACTGGCTGCAACAACCGTTCCTCAAGGTCCTACCATGTCAGACAGGTCGGTTGAAGAGCGGTAAGACTAAAAGCAACAAACCCAAGGTCCGAAGGCGAAGTCGTACTGCTGACTGTACAGAGGTGTGACAGCAGTAAGGTGTTTCCTTCAGACAACCAGCATGACAGCGATGCTGCCTTCCCACAAGGAGGGGTGGGGTTAGAAAAGGTCGACCCTAAAAATGCACACCTCGCCTTATCCCACGGATATCCGTCTCCGGCGGTAAGGTCTCAATAAGTACGGAGCTAACACAAAAATTACCCATAAAAATGTCGTGTGTGACCGACCTCAAGCAGTTGTCCCTTGGGCACTGCGGTCACGCTCTCAGTTCACTAAGACCACCTTTAATCCAATTTCCTTTTCAGGTACCTCCAGAAGAACCCTTCCACGGTGTGGGCAACCGGGAAGTGATAACCGCCCTCATACTTTTAACAGCACTCAAGACCACTGTATTCATAATCAACCTCCCTCTTCAATTCCTATTATTCCTCCTACATCGACTTTCAACTCTATATTTCCTCTCTCGGCTTCCACCTCAAGTGTCACCGTAGCCAACGATTCTAGTGCTCAAAACACTGTCCCAGGTCTACTGAAACCTCGCTCCAAACTACACATTGGAGCCTTCAACGTACGCACCCTATGTCAAATCGGTCAGCAGGCTTCCTTGGCTAAAACCCTAGAGTCTCTTTCCATTGATGTATGCTGTGTCTCCGAAACACGCATACAGGATTCCAGTGTGGTCATTCACTTGACCTCACCTCGGCAAAACCCTCCGTGTATCTGGTGACCCGATGGCCAGTTCTCGTGGACTGGCAGGTGTAGGCATAGCACTAAGCATGAGGGCGGAACAAGCACTGCTAGAGTGGATCCCCGTCAACAGTCGTCTATGTGCTGTTCGGCTGAACGGCTACGTAAGAACTCGGAAGGATAGGGACACACGTCGTTGCCTTTTTGTCGTTTCTGCCTACGCTCCCACTGACTGCAGCTCAGATGAAGTGAAAGATGAATTTTACAGAAAGCTACCTGAACTTCTTCAGAAAGCTAAACGCTCAGACATAGTACTCGTAGCAGGTGATTTTAATGCTCAGATAGGTAGTTTAAACCAAACAGAAAGGCATTTAGGTGGGTATTTTAGTATTCCGACACAGCGAACAGATAATGGTGATCGTCTGCTGCAGCTATGCTCAGACAATCGTTTATTTTTAGCAAACACAAATTTTAAGCATAAGGAGAGACATCGTCTAACATGGCGACCCCCTACACCAAACCAACGATGGACTCAAATAGACCATATTGCCATCAGTCATCGTTGGAGAGGGTCGGTAGAAGATTGTCGCTCATTCTGGAGTACCTGCTTGGACTCCGACCATGCCCTAATACGGGCACGCATCTGCTTGCGCCTCACTGGACGCAAAAAAGCCACATTAAAAAGACCCATTAGAACTGAGTTGAGTAACGAGAAAACCAAAAGTAGGTTCCAGGAACAACTGAGGTCACACTTAGGTAGTTGTGAAGACGAGGCTGACCCAGATGTTGCTTGGAAGGACATACAAGCAGCTGTGGAAACAGCAGTGACATCTATTAGTGACTTAAACCACAGAGTTACAAAGAACCAGTGGATTTCTTCAAGGTCTATCACACTGATGGATTCTCGCAAACTCGTCCCATCAGGTTCTGAACATGATGAAGAGCGAAACAAATCAGATCTAGGTTAAGAAAAAGTCTAAGGAACGACCGTGAGCAGTGGTGGGCAACGAAAGCAAAAGAGATGGAAAAGGCGGCGACTATAGGGAACACAAGACAGCTTTACAGACTAATAAAAGAAACTGGAATTAATAAGTCAAGTGTAAGTGAGATTATTTCGGAAAAAGACGATACTCTCATCTGCTCCCAGTCCAGACGTTTAGAACGATGGGCGGAACATTTTAGAGAACAGTTCAGCTGGCCTTCAGCTACTCTACAACTACCCTCCATTCCCAGACAGTGTGAATGGAACATTGAAGTAGGTCCCCCAACTCTTGCTGAAGTTGAAAAGGCTATAGTTAATCTGAAACGAGGAAGGGCAGCTGGTCCAGATGGATTGGCTCCAGAGTTCTTTAAGGATGGTGGTCCAATTTTAGCGATTAGGTTGACTAATATTTTAGCTAAGATCTGGGAGTTAGACGTTATCCCATCTGACTGGTCGCAATCACTTATCGTCCCAATATATAAGAAAGGGTCAAAATCATCCTGTGACAACCACAGAGGGATTAGTTTAACTAATATAGTATCTAAAATACTAGCCTCGATAATTATCAGACGCCTAACTAAGACTCGTGAACTGCAAACACGAGAGAACCAAGCTGGCTTTAGACCTGGTCGTGGCTGCATCGACCACATATTCACCATTCGTCAGGTTCTAGAACACAGGCATACTTATCGGCGTCCGACAATGGTGGTCTTTCTTGACTTAAAAGCAGCATTTGACTCTGTAGACCGCGAGATTCTGTGGCAGTGTCTGTCATTGAAAGGCGTACCTCAGAAGTACATAAACCTTGTGAAGGCTCTTTACTCGAACACTACTAGTCGAGTCAGAGCTTATGGCGAACTGTCATCTACTTTTGCAACCTCAAGTGGTGTCCGTCAAGGCTGTCCACTTTCTCCATTTTTGTTTAACTTCATCATAGACCTATTGATGGAAATAACACTCTCGTCGACTGAATTCTCGGGTATTGATCTCCTTCCAGGAGGTCCACTTATCGACTTAGAATACGCAGATGACATAGTCCTGTTTGGTGAAGACGCTGACAAAATGCAGAGTCTTCTGGTAGCACTAAGCAACAATGCCAGAATGTTTGGAATGCGCTTCTCTCCCTCTAAATGCAAGTTGTTGCTTCAGGACTGGTCTGCGTCAACACCTGAACTAAGGATAGGGAGTGAAGTAGTCGAACGCGTTGACAACTTCACTTATCTTGGAAGTCTGATCAGCCCTAATGGGTTGGTGTCTGACGAAATCTCAGCACGGATTCGAAAAGCTCGTTTGGCTTTTGCCAACTTACGTCACCTATGGCGAAGGCGAGATATCCGTCTATCAATAAAAGGACGAGTATACTGCGCGGCAGTCCGTTCTGTTTTAATTTACGGCAGCGAAACATGGCCTTCAAGAGTAGAAGACACCCGTAAGCTACTAGTATTTGACCACAGATGCCTTAGAAATATTGCTGGCGTCTGCTGGGATCACCGGGTAAGTAATAGTGAGGTTAGACGCAGGGTATTAGGGAATGATGGTAAATCAGTTGATGAGGTTATGAATCTTCATCGACTGAGATGGTTGGGCCACGTGTTACGTATGCCTGAACACCGATTACCACGACGTGCAATGCTAACCGGTGTTGGAGATGGTTGGAAGAAAGTTAGGGGCGGCCAAACCAAAACGTGGCATCAGTGCTTGAAGTCACTAACTTCTAGTCTGAGCCATGTTGGTAGATGCAGACTACTTGGTTGGGGTCCGCGTGACTATCGTAACCAATGGTTGGAGACTATTGGTGACATGGCTCAGAATCGATCACAATGGCGTCGGTGTATACACTCTCTGTCTTCCCTTAAACTAAGAGATTAAAATCACTTCATATCTTTCTTTCTACGAACTAATTCTTTCTTCCTGTACTATATCCTTATTGCAATCTTTCTTTTATATATTACCACCTCTGAATTAACTACTTTTATGAATCCGGTGTCCATCTTGTTGTGTTAATGAGGTATGGCAACTTGGACCGATGCATATATGTGCCTGGTCCTAAGTTCTAGCTGACTGACTGATTGACTGATGATAAATCCACATTACCATCGCTATCATCAGACATTCCTCAAAATAAAAACATACCACATGCTTTACCAGACACCACTGGAAAATTATAACTACTTAAAAGGATCCCAACGACGTCCATACGTGGTTTGTATAGGCTTAAGCAGTTCTTGACCTATGCTATTCGACCGCAAACTTCACGTTAGGAACATTTGGTTGATGTGCTGCCGATCAATTGCTATGTTTTAAGAGATTACGAGACCACCTAAATCGGCGAACGGAATGAAAGATCAGCGACATAGCGACAAAACAAGTTAACTATTCCGATGCGCCCAGCTCCTCTAACTAGAGGGAAAAGACCTGGTTGAGATGAGGGAAAGATATATTCCACAAGCAGCCAGAAACAACAACAAGCACACAACTCAAGCGTATATATACAATATAAAAATGCTCTTCGGAAACAGCACATTAAAAGAGGCAACCAACCAATGACATTTAGGGTCCTTTCATGTGGGAAATACAATCTGAAAGTAAAAATAGGCGCTTTTGGAGTGAAAACGAGAAATTTAAATTTCCAAGATAAGGTTACAAAAATAAGACTTTTACCAAGTGATTTGTGGGGATCTAGCATCCCCAACATCAATATAATGGTACAGGTGGGAAACCTGGTAGACCATTTTCTTGAAGAGACACCCTATGAGGAGCAACAGCTATACAATACACCTTGAACTCGGGTGAGAAGCGATTACAGTTGTTAACCGCCCGGAAACTTACGCGACAGGACATCGTCCCAATTTCTGAGATCTAAGGAACAACTAATGGGATCACATAAGCTAGGTGAGGTGGTTTCGAAGCACAAGTAGATAATTTGAGACTTTATCTTTGCCTATGTTGACCCTGTTCATAAGCTGTTATAACAATCGTACGAAGGACTAATTTAGGTGACAGGCTTTGTTAACATGTTTCACCATCAACAAGAACGCCAAGATGAAGATTAATTACAATCACCGTATTTAGTGACACAGAACAAGATAATGAGGTTGTCAGTGGGAAATCAATTTGTTTCCCCCTAGTCAGCAAGACCTGATCCTATTCTCAATAATCCACCAACATTTTTTCAACAGTACTTCCTCCATCACGTTGTCCGATATTTGATTGACTGTATCGACTCCATACTCTTGTCTTTTGGTGTCACCTATGTCTACTTAAAACAACTGTGGTTAAAAGTAAGACAACTAGAGATATTACATCCATATTCTAATTAAAGTATGTGCAAAAGGATGTGAACTAAAGACCTAATTGTTTAAAACAAACCAATAAATACATTAGGTTATTCGACAAAATCACAGAGTAAAAACATAAATGTTCAATTTATTCCACCCTAAAACTTTGCTTTGTTTCTTAATCTCTCACCTAAAAGCGGTGTAGAACAGTTATAAATTTACAATCGACTGTCTGTACATTAGTCTATAATTAGATTAAAATACTCAGAAAAATTAATGTACCCAATACTTGGAGCAAAACTGTGAAACATTATATTATCTCTTTGGATAGGATATTAAAATAAGATGTAAACAACTGAAAAACACTAATATCAGGGAATAAATAGTTCAACATTTAATTCCAATGATAGATTTAATCAAAACTTACTCGTCTGATATCATTAATTTGGAATCTTCTGTACAGCCAAGATCAAATGTAACATGAAAAGACGGGTGACTTTGTTGTTCGTTATTAAGTATTGATTTAGTCATTTTTAGTGTCATACCTTGAAGTAATAACAAAGAATATCATTTACACAAAAACATTTTAAAAGAATAATTACTGAAAATATTCAATGAGAACACCATGTTTTAAAAAAGCTTTGATACATGGGGTGTCCAGTAATTTCTATAATTTAACAATTAAGTAAAGCCTTCAAATACACCTAGTCATACACAGTGAATAAAATGAAAATATTTGAATAAAAACCCCGTTGTATAGTAGATTCTGAAAGAATGTAAATTATGGTCAAATTCACAGATCAACTGAGAACATAGAGCATGAAATAACACATTAGTAGTACAATTATGTGTAGTGCAATGAATGTATAAAATAATAATATCCGGAAGAGATAACACAAACGGTATCAAGAGATTAAAACGGAATGAATAACCAACAAATAAGTGTGAAGAATGTAACAACTATAGGCTACCAACACAAATTCTCAAGCAAACAACTTAAAATTCCTAACCCTCAGTTAAAAGATGTAACATGTCACGGTGAGCTGTTGATAACTTTATGTAACTCGATAAACAGTTACAAACTAATAACAAGAAATAAGTTTTTATGTGAAGGTGAAACAAGTATAAACCAAAGATAAATTTGAATGATCAACACTGAACAGAAAATAGATATTCACTAAACTATGTATATCGGTCTTTAATGAATAGCATGTTATTCAACATAAAAACTGCCAATTTATGCTTATAAACGAAAAGAATAATACTAAAAAAGGTTAAAATAGGACTAATTGAACCATTGTGAAAAAAAACAACGCAAAAATAACGAGTCAACAAGAATATTGTAAAGAGACATGAGATGTTTCAAAAATCACATAACGAAAAAGAAATTTAGTTGACGGTGAAGATTAACAATTAAATATTCCTAATAGAAAATTACGAGTATTATTCATATTTTTGTTCAAAGTACCAAGTACAGTAGAAAAGTATGGTCGTTGACTTTAAATTTTTTTTAACCGTGATGAAAATGGATACCCATCTACATCCAAAATAGATATAATTGAGACTTATAACACCCGTTCTCTAAATAACTGATCTTTAACAATTATGAAATGTTTTTTTTTCTGATAGAATTTATAATTAGTGATATAGCACACTATGAATTTCACAGTGTACTTGAATTATTCACGAAAAATAAAGTATTACTTCTTACTAGCAATCCAATGAATAAAAATATGAAATTACTAACAAACAGTTAGTTTATAGACCAATTCACACTAAATGTGGAATGATAAACATTCCTTATATAAATTAATCTTTTTACATAAAATTACTCTGGTAGCTTAACTATTGATAAAAGATGGAGGATACAAGTAGCGTAGCATTATATTTCATTATTAAAGAAATATGGAATTTATTCGACGACTTTTTTTGAAAGACAAGAATCTGTCACATTGATCATGAAGCTAAATATTCTCGGGGAAAATGCCTAGATGGAAAATGTTTATTATTATTATTTATTTGAACACATGAATATTGGTACAAGAGAGCGCCAATATATATATATATATATATATATATATATATATATATATATATATATATATATATATATGGAAAATGTACACACAGTGAATACCATGTAAAATATGATTGATTTTATGGACATCTCAGCGCTTCATAAACTAAAATGTTTGTGAATGCTATCGATTGAACTAACTTTAGAACTTCAGTTTGTAATAAATAAAAGATCTATTACATTGTTGACAAGCAGATTTCAAGAAGGTTAGTCGAATTTAAAACTAAATATTACTTAGCTGACGGAGTCAATAAATATAAACCTACATTACCATATACTATTGATATTTAATAGGGGGTTAAATCTCGCGCAATTTACGTAAAAAGGTTATTAAATCAATAAATTTTAATTAAATAAAAGGACGTTTAGATGAAGATGGATAGTGGTTAGCAGTGGAATTTAGGAGGTACATTTTGTCCTCTTTGAAACTTATCAGCAGTTGGATGTATTCGCCATATCCTAGTGTTAATGTTCACTCAAAGACTCGAACCTAATACTTTTGGCTTCAAAAATTTGGATCATGCTAATTATTTATTTGGTTTTCCATACACTGATGATAATACATTAACCTCTTTTCCTTCTTATGCGATGATGTTCACTTATGAATATATACATTCAATGATGTCATAGCATTTCCACAAATATTCACTTCAATTTCAAAAGAGACAATGACCCAAACACTAGATGTTGCAGAAAATTCTTAGTATTTATTCAACATTAAACAAGCTGGATTTTATCGTGTTCATTATGCTGACAATAACTGGGAACCATTGACAGGACAGTTGTATAAAGACCACCATGTAAGTAGTAACCGTTATTTGAAAAATTATTAAGATTAATCATCTCCAAAGCCTATACAAAGATAATTACTTTGATTGTGAATTATCTGTTAATAGTTTATGGAATTGAGCTTGTATAGACGTCACAATAATCCATGATGTTGCATAACCCTTCATCCATTGTCTGAGGCGGATAACTGATGATGCGCACCACTGAAAAGTCCATACTACGACGAAACGGTCATCCAGTGCTCTCAGGTTTTCAGTGTTGGTCTAGCTTAGATTGACTCGTGATTTCGGCTGTGAGAATAATTATTTGTCCTTTTTTATTCTGAGCCTCGATCAAATATCAGATAATGATCGTATACTTGTTCACTCACAAAAAACTACATATTTTCTAATAATATATCATACATGGATTATTATATTACCACTGAATTTGATTGAACTAGTCTGATCACAAAAATTAAGATCTGCATAATGTCTTACAGCAAAGAAGATTGAAGTCACATATTCTACAGACCCTACTCAATATTACTATTGCTACTGAAACATAACGTTTCACATAAACAATATAACTCCAAAGATTCTAACATAAAAAATTTTTATTGTGACATATAAATCAATTTGGATTGTATAACTCAATTTTCATTTCATTTTATGCAAGCATAAAGCAGTGAAATGACGAATCACTTAAAGAACAACTGACGACATTGTAATTCAATTAACAATAATGACTAAAAAATAAACATTCAGTTAGTTACTACTACTCAGTGAATAATTGTTTAAAATGCAAATAATAAATTTCACTAACAATAGTTGAATACCCACAGTTTCGTGAATACGATTTTCAGTTACACTTGTTGTTGCATGAAGATAGAAAATAGTGTTTGATTGCCAAAACTAAATTAATCAGAGAAATGACTGAAACTATAACTTAGTACGTAAAACAACCGACTGGCATTAGTCAATAGATTTCTAAATCTAAGGTTAATTTAAAAAACCACCGATGCTTTAGAAAGTCATTAGAGTATTTTGATAAGAGAGATAGGCTAATTGAACGTATAGTAAATTTTTAATCAGTTAACGCACATTTTACTAATACTACACAATTTCCACTCTTAATATATGATACTGACTGTAGGATATGGAAGTCCGCGAAACAACTAAAATAACAACAGAAAACTTAAACTGAGTAAGTCCGAGAACAAGGATTATGACTAGTCAACGAAATTTACTCGGCTTTATTGCAAAATGTATGAAATGTAGGTTTTGATAACTAAGAGTACCAGAGAATCTTGAAAAAGGATCTACTGTTCCAAGTTTTGTATACCATTTAAAGAAAAGGTAACGGTAAAGAATAAACATACTCAAATAAAATAAAACGGATAAAAAGTGCTTACCTATATCTTCAGTTTTCGCAGGCTACAATATAGAATGTTTAAAAAAGAGAGCGAAAGATATTTCAACTTACAAAACTCGTATAATACCGACCAAAGAAAACTTAAGGACATAATTCTATTAAGATAAACTAAATACTATTCAGAATTATTGCATATGTAAACTACTATTATTACTAATGTTGTAGTGATTACTATAATTATAAGACACCTATCTATATGATCAGTTGTTGCATTTATCCTGACTCTTGAATCCGCCTACCCATATTGACTTTTTTTAAAATACTGATATCAGATAAATAGTTCTTACAATTCAAATCAGTAAGACAAGAGAAAAAATGCACAAGCCAGTGAGAATAATTATACCAGCAGAAGTAAAATATTAAAAGAATGAAAGATACTATTGAAGACGAAAACTGACGAATAGATATGATTTTCAATATTTTGAGTAAATGGATCTCTGTAGCAGTGCTATCGATTTGATTTACCTAACTTAGTATGAATACTGGTTGCAATATAATGATTTTATTTTGTAAAAGACAATCTATTTTCGAAAAACGTTTTTATATATTTGAATAGATCAGTCAGTCAGTCAGCTACAATTCAATTTTATAACGAGATAATTGTTTCTAAGGTTACGTTATATTATTATTATTATTATTACCACTATTATTACTATTATTATTATTATTATTATTATTATTATTATTATTATTATTATGTCGTTTTGTAATGCTTGTAACAAAAAAATTAAATTGAACTATTAAAAGTACAAAAATTAAATAGAATATTTAAAATTTCATAACGTGTACGATTAGGTCGATATTACTTTTCAAGTAACCGAGTAGTCCATTTTTATAAGACTTGTGTTGTTCTTATTTCCAAATAAATCAACATCACATCTTAATTTACATTCAGAAAAATCTGAAGAAATCTACACTTCTTAATGCACGTACTATGCATAACCAATACACACATAAATAATACATGCTACATGATTGGATGACAATTTTAAAGTAGCTTGGCTATTAATACATTGATCTGATTTTGCATGGCTTCTTTGTATTTAAATACAAGCTAAAGTTATGATGACTGAATGATTCCATAGTAGAGAAAATGATGAGTCTCTACTTATAAAGCCAAGCACAGAAGACAAATAATTAGCAACACAATCAGGAACATTTTAAATCAAGATAAGGTATCACTTTAAGAAGTCACTGGTTGTTGGTTTTTGTAATGTAGGTACTTAGGGAACGCGTAATTACCGTAATTAATTGTAAGAGATATGGCTAAGAACTGGTCTCAATGACACAGATGCACTCACTCTTCAATCTCTCTTAGATCTTGAGCTTTAAAATTACCTTATATCTTTTTATTCCGCAAATTAATTCTTCCTCATATTATATTGTCTATCCTTAATGTTTCCTACTACCACTGATATTATTATTACAACTTCTACTACACTGAGATTTCTCTTGATAGTTTTATCTATGTTAATACATGTAGCAAACTGAACCGATACACAAGTCCTACGTTGCTTATGATTGACTGACTTAAAGAGAGATAATAGCACACTTATAGTATTGGCAGAAAATGTTAAATAGGTAGTATTTGTAGGATAGATAGTTTAAGGAGCACATTTTGTACCTCGATCATATCATTTTAAATAATCTACTACATTCTTGCCAATTAATAATGTCATTATTAAATTTTTTAAAAAGTAAAATAACTAACTAACCTGAAGATCGAAACCTAATTTAAGAAATTTAAGACCTTGTTCGGTAATATGATCCGGATGACTAGAAAGCCAGCTAGTATAATTGGATAAATTAGACGTTGATGTTTGTTTATCTATGAACAATTGTCGACAATCTGTAAGTGATGTTCGAAGTAAAGCTAATTCATCATCTTCAAGTTTATTATAATCAATGTCCTGATCTTTATCATGTATGATGTGAACATCATGATTATCTCTTTGAAACGATGTGTGACCATAAGACACATCATCTTCGGAATCCTTGGACAACGGCATTCCTGACAAACGACGATAAAGTCTATAACTGACTGCTTCAGCTGAATCTAAAGAAGTTGATGTTAAAGTAGACGGTAACCAGGCAGGAATTCGAGTCAAATATTCAGTCTGAATTAAGGGAATATAACAACACAAATATAAGTTAACAAGGAGAATATTATAAACTATTTGTACTAAAAAATAAAAAGTGTTGCTGTACTTTAGTCTATTAAACGCAAACATATCATAAAAATTTGCTCAGATAAAAAGTCTAATGAACTAACAAGAAGCATAAAATAAATTGTTTAAAATTAATATTATTCATCGTATATGATATAGAAAAGCATAATTTGATGATAACTAGTTATATGTACTGGATATCGCAAGGCAGTCTTACTATTAATATGACATCAGATTAATTCATATATCAGTAAGGGGATTTATGGAGATTGTAGTATTTTCAACAGTTGAAATCACGAGTCGGTCTAAGCTAAACATCCATTGAAAACCTGGAAACACTGAACAACCGTTTCGTTCTAGTATGGGACTCCTCAGTAATGTACATCCATGATTTCGCACGCAGGGCTCAAATCTAGGACCTTCAACCTCGCGCGCAAACGGCTATTAATTAGTGTAAAACCATAAATCTGTAAACAATCACGATATATAGGTTTATTAATATTAACTTATCAAACTAGCTCATTGAATAAAATCACATATTTATATTCAATATCACTTCTTTAAATCTACAAGGGTGAATACAGCTGTCCCTTGTCTCTTAAGTACAATTTATTTACTTTTAAATACACAAAAGATAACTGTCTAAGACTCAAAATAAAAACTATAAGAATAACATTCATCAAATACAAACATATAAAATCGAATTTATGCAACGAATTTTATGAATTCTATATGTCAAATATTCAGAAAATAATACATTATCAAAAAGAATAGGTTATAGATATAAAGCTTCAATATAATAAGTAAATTTGGCTTTACCTCTAACCAACTTGGTTTAGTATTTTCAGAATCGGAAACACATAAATGTTCATCAGATGTACGATGAACAAAACGTGATGATGAAAGATCAACCCGAGCTTTAGATATATTTTCATTATATAATGTAAGATCGTTGGTATCTGATAAGGTAAAGCGTCGAGCGGATTTGAAACCTCCCATTTTACCTGAAATCTAAAAACATATGACTGTTATGAGTACGTTATGTAGGTTGAATATCTTCTCAGCAAAGAATATATATTTTATTGTCCAAAAACGAATTTGTGTGATATCGAGTCATTAAAGAAAAAATAGAAAATAATATAGTTTTAATATGAACATAATGCATTAAAAACAAATAATTCTTTTTAGTTCCATGGAAGTGACCATAACAATTTAGTACAACGAATAAGAAAACAATACTGAGAAATCAATAAACTAGCTTGATGAATATCAAACTAGGTACTTGAAAGGTTCTGGATTGTATTTAAGAAATTGATAGTTAGTTGAAATATTATTGAAGAAGAAAGCCGGATCGCTCTATAAACAACAACGTGAACCTTTTTATTTTTGATCAATATAAAAAACTTTTTACAGAGAATATTTCTTTTATATTTATTTGATTTTATATAAGAAAAGGTAAAGAATACTATAAAACTTTAAAACGAACATTAAAAAAAACTAAGGTTCATTAAGTAAAGAAAAATGAAGCTTCAAAAGTAAAATGAACTATAATCCTCCGGGGTTAGTTTCTATATGACCTGATTAGAAGATGTAGACAACCAAAATGATTCAAAATGTTAAGGTAAACACTCATGACTGGAATTACAAAGATATAACTTTATAGGAATATTATACAGAATTAAATCTAAGGACGATTAACTATGATTACAAATACATTCACTTCAAAGAAATAAATGTCAAGAACATATTCGTTTCTTGATCATTAAGATTAGTTTAACTGAATAATGGTAACTGATCATCCAATTTGTATTTAAAAAGGAATTATTATCATTAGCATTGTACATAAGTATCTACAAGACATAGCTGATAGATATGACATTTAGTGGGATTAAAGATAATAGATTCTCAAAGAAACAATGTTAGTTCGGTAGATTTTATGGGTGAACTTAATGTGTTGAGATTTAGATGGTGGTTGGAGGTAGTCAACAGGAAACCCTGGACCCGGGTTTCGTGCTACTTGGCACTCGTCAGCAAAGTGTACCTGTAATCTTGAGGGAACTGGTGCTCCCTGACATTACTACTGAGCTATCCGAGACGCTACTGACCTCCTGTAGGACTGAGATGTAATCACCCAGTGATCAATCACCAGGTACACTTTGCTGAGGAGTGCCAAGTAGCACGAAACCCGGGTCCAGGGTTTCCTGTTGACCACTTCCAACCACCATCAAAATCTCAATATATAGTGCCCGCAGTGTCGAGTCACCTAGACTGGTGGCCACTTTGCAATATGATCGATAGCATTCGATCTGCACTAATAAGGACTAGACAAGCATGAGATTGATCACCACCCAGTGATCAATCAATTGTGAACTTAATGTGTAAATTAAATGAACTTACTGCTTTTATTGCTGAACTATTACCTTGAACCATACTCGCAACACGTCTGGTTTGGTGTGACTTCAACCACATTGATTTCGGTGTAGGTGTTTGTGTACCAACGGCAGATTTAACAGTTTTAGAAGTTTTTCTAGTTTCATACCAAATACTGGTCCATAAACTATTTAGTAAGTCCAGTGATGGACTATCATTTGCTTTTAGAGAGCTTTGACAAAAGGATCTCAGAAATTCACATCGTTCATGAGGATTTAAAGGTAAAAGCCACTTCTTCAGAGAAGGAATGACATCTTTTAGAGCAAATTCAGTAGAATTCCTCACCTTATCTTTCAGATCCGATGAACACTGAAAATTAGAAAAAAACAAAGTACTAAACATGAGATTTGTAGAATGTGGTGAGGATAAACCTATACTGTTAAAAGCAAAATTATGTTGCAAGGTATTTGATTCTTGACTTATTATTGGCAAAAATACTTTCTTTTAATAAAAGTAGAACATGAATAACTACAAGTTAATTTGTTCAACAGATATAACAGGATAACACATCAGTAAATATTATTCAACAAACATCTAACGATGGAGGCATGAAAGATACACTTATATTCCAAGAACCTATTCCGCATTCCAAAGAATCAAGGGAAAAAAACACAACCAACATTGGAATAGGACTATGGACTTCAGATGACACTGATCTTCATTTGTCAGCCATTTCTGGTCATTTAGATGAAGAATCACTAAACTACATCAACTCAAAAACACATTCCATTTAAAAGTAGCCTAAACCTCTATAGTAAAAATCCATGCGCAATTGTCTACTGAACTACAGTCTAACACTTCATTACTGATTGTAGGTTATTATCCTTTCCATTAGATCTTTCTGAAATGTTTGTCGAAAAACGTGTGATGTAAAATATAACTTGTAAGACCCAGTTTCAAAGTCCATCCTAAAAATGCGTGATTTAGAACCATCGTGTTGATTACCAAATACTGTGTTCACGTACAACACAGATAACCAAAACTTAATGCCCTAAGTGTCAGACAAAGGAATACCTCCTTTTTATTAGTAGTTCCGTATATAGCTGAACTTCAGCAAAATGAAAATAAGATGAAAGCTTTCTTAGTGAACTGTTTTAAAGAAAATGTAATTAACATCTTGGACTTCAGAAAACTTCATATACATAATCTAGTGAGCACTTTACAGCCTTTTACTTTGAATCATTTGCATACTGACAAGATGTAAGATGAAAACACAATAGCATCTTTAATGTATACATATGCCGAATGGCCAGAGACTTATTAAGGGACGCAATTCCTATCGTTCAATTGTGGACAGAATCTGTTACCCAGATTTCAACTGTTTTCATTATAATTTTGAAAACCAGTAATGAAATAAAATGTTGACGTCAATAAAAGTACTTTCACTTTCTAAAACTATATTCCCAAAGCAATGCGTTTGTGCACTAAATTAATAATTTGTAACGGCAATGAACAAGACTGGCTCCCATTACTTTCTTACTTGTCGCTAACTAAAGACAGGTTGAACTTTTTCATGAGCTTTAATGATAGATAATCAAGAGGATTTAATAACCTCTGGTACTCGTTAGCAATGTCACTGATTGTCATCTTTAGGTTTTGATCAAAACGGCTCGAAAGCTGTGTTCGAATATCAGCGAAGTTTTGCGACTACAAGCTCCAAATGATAATTAACGGTTCGAACTGGCAGCTCATCAGCAACTATGGTTGTAATCAATCACATTGGCGAGTTATAGTGTAAAGCCAACTGATTCCCTTAGTTGACAACTGAGAATAATGAACCCTCAAACTTAAGAACTCATCCCTTACTGTTCTTGCACAATGGAATAGACCAAAAAGTCTATCGAATTCCACCAAGTAGACTTACTTAGTGGTAACCATTAAAGAAGTAATCCTGACGTTAGGCGCATAATTTAAGACGAAAATGAGATGTGTCATCGATAAGACTTTAAACATTCATGTGCCAGTATGGTTGAGACATGTGTTATGATGCTCTGGAAAAAATTCCGTAGATAATCCGGTTGCTAGAGATTGAGTAAAGTAACCTCTCAATTAATCCGACGATTGATTCGAACAGTTTGTTAATCCATTCTTCTGAACTTTCTTATGCAATAATGTCGCGGACACATAACTAGACTAAAAATGGTTTAGTCTCGATAGTTTACACAGTACAGTGTATTCAACACAAAGCATGCTTTGACGAACACTGAATCAACTGAAATGCTTGAGATAGAGTTCATCTAGCCAGTTATACTGGAACATTGGTTGCAGATAAGTATCTTAGAGGAACTAGGTCCATAAATAAATATTTTATGTACAATCAATACTCCTTACAAACTATGCACTATATTAGTTAATGTTGGAGAAAACTGACAATTGACCCACACCTAAAGTTACTTGACAGATCTTGTGATAGGTGTATAAAACTCTTGTTAGTGTATTTGAAATGACTGAGCACAACAGTTTCATCGATGTTCTGTAAAAAAAACAGACTGAATTGTTGTGGAATAAATACCTTACACACAGTGTACTGAGACGGTTAGGTGAATGAAATTCAGTAAAAGACATGTCACTGATTTTGAATATTGTCGTGGAATCATTTGGTAAGAGCTATTTCTAAGTAACCCTAGTTCAGAAGTAACCTTACACTCACAAAACTACATGTTATCTTAATTCTATAAATCTAAAAATAAAATTTCGCCACTAAATATTAAAGAAATTTAATGTATTTAACAACCTTAAAATAATTGGGAGATTTAAATACTTTTCATTTAAAGAAGTGTGAGATCAGACAGAGGAAAGATATAAACTGAATTTATGGCAACTTTGATGAAAACCCTGGTTAACAAAGTGAAAACTCACTTGATAAAGAAATGGAACAATAGTCCTAGAAGTGTTTCCCCCAACACTATGATAGTTAGCTATTGTACATTTATATCATTTACAGGAAATTTATGTTATCTAGATACCATGATGTTCTCAAAACAATAGTGATTCACTATTTTCACATCCAATCGAAAGGTAATATTTTTTTGGATGATTAACGTAACATATGTCAGAATTTATGTTAACTATAATTTATAGACTATGACATAAATCTTTCATTTGAAAAAACCCTGTTTCCATTCTCTTCTCAGTTTTCTCGTCTAAACTATATTCATATATTTAGCTTATATGTAAATAATTATTTGAACAATTTTTTTTAATTCTTTTACAATTATTGTTTACAATCCAGATTTAATTAAAACTTTTCTTATATATTTTGACTTGAATAATTTATACTACTATTTCTAGATTGTAAGCACGTGAAAAAAATCCACAAAATTAATCTATTTGTATTGCTCTATTAAGATCGTTGTTCTTGACTTTATTGAAATCCATAAATGAGAAAGACTGTATAAGATATACAAATCTCTTGAAATAATTCTGTACGTAATTAAAATTTAACGTTTCACATACATAACTCTATCCAACATTTTATAGACTAGATGTCAGACAGTCAGATAATACAGTTTTTAAATTGATAATGTAAGATTTTCAGTTCGTTGTACGATTTCGCATATGATTAATAAGTTGCTTAATTTTATGTACTCAAACAATATCCATTCATTTGAGATCATGAATAAAAATATTATTTAATGTATTTGAGTATACAGTTTAATATATTTATTTCTTGATAAATAGCTTTCAGAGGATAAAAGCCAGTACAAAAACAATAGTTTTTATCGAACCATTGAATCACTATATATCAAATCAGTAAGATAAAGGAATAAATAATCCTGTAAGTTGAAATACAAAGCAAAAGACGTCTTCAGGGTTTTTTTCGGAAAGAGTAGGTTGGGTACTAATTGTTTATTTGGCTACACCAAAAATAGACCCACCTTGGGAGTTGTATCAAGTGAATGTGAACTCTTAGTATTTGTTGAAGAGATATTATTGTTTGTGTCTGACTTCATAACAACATTGTTACAATCATCATTATTGTCGATATCAATCTTGGGATTGTTATCGGAAGTTCCAGTATCACTTGGAGACCCCAATTGCTGAAGAAACTGTACCAATAAAGGTAGTAGGATTTTACGTGTCATTCTGACATTATTCACAATTGCTATAAAATGACTGAAATCAGGGACAGACTGAGGAAGTAAATCTAGATTAAGCTTCGGATTCAGGAGAAATTTAATCAGCTATAGTAAATAGGAAAAAATAAATAATGAATAAGAGTAAAGTGCAAAAGATTTAAGTTCAATTTAACAATTCAAAAGCAATTAACCCTTATCGTTATTTTATTGGTGGTAATCATTTAATAGCTTCTTCGCAGTTTTGTACACAATGAATTACTGAAATTAGCAGCCTGACATGACTACACACCCTACACTTTAAAAATAACCTTGAACTGACAGCTAATCGTGAATATCTAAATGAAACTTTATAGAAAATGGAAGAGACAGAAATTGTAGTAATGTAATGTGGTAATTGAGAATAAGAATTGTTTAGTTCTCTATGACATTCGGTTGTAAAAACTAGACTAGCAAATTATGTTATTACATTAAGACTTTTATGACTTGAATAGGTTTTATTATAGAAAAATTCTAGTACATTACTGACTGACATGGATTGTATAAATAATGACCTACAGCATGAAATTTTGGTAAACGAAAATGAACTAGATTTCAAAAATGAGAAATAACTCACTAATTATTTCCATTCAATTTTTTTCAAATAAGCACTTTGAAACAAAATAGAGGGGAGTTGAATAGGGTAATACATTAAACGCCTCAAATTATTGGGCATAAAATATGTGGCAAACAGCTGAAAAAATTATCTTGCCCATTTTCAGTATTAAGGTTGAAAAGTTCTGTGAAAATCAGTCAACAATAATAAGTTTTCACACTTAGATGGAATGATAAGTACTCTCCGTAGAAAGTAAAAAAAATAATAAATATATCACAATAAAACCTATGAAACAGAACAACATGTAGGAGTATAACAGAAAATCCTAGTACTGATGAGAAATACTTCCTAATATTGGTTTAAAGTGTTATATTTAGTAAGTTTAAAATAAATTACATTAAGTACAAACTCCCTATACATAGTTCCACAAATAAACACAGACGAAAATTAATGAGATGAAACTAAATGTAAATACTTGCATCACTATAACGTCCAGCAGGAAAATTCATATTATACAAAATCAGAGCTCTTCTTCGAAAAGTTGTCAACTCCGATGAAGGTATCGATGAACTTTCCGATAAGGGATAACCAACAGTAAGACAAACAAGTAAATTGGCATTGTATTTAGCACATATCCGATTGGCTGCTTCAGTAAAGTCAGGAGAATTAATTAACATCTAATGAAAGAAATAACAGCCTAAAATTTAGCTTTACAATAGGGGATTTGAATAAAAACTTTATGATTGATAAAGCAGAAAATTTCACGAACAGAACGAGTTTATTTGAGAGTATTATTGACGTAATGTCTGGAAAAATAGTGTAACCTTTATGTGTCCAAATCAAAATAGGCAGAGAATGTTTCGAACATACAAATCAGTATTAAGAAGTCAAATGACTTGAACATCGAAGTATTATTCTTACTTATTGAATGCCAACGTGATGCAAATATCATACACCTCCAAGTTCCATATAGCACTTTCTTGTTAATATGAAAGTCTAACAGGTAGATGGAAACCGAACCAACTTAATCGCGTACTGCCTCATTGGTCCTTAGTCATTTCGCAAACATTTTATATCTAAAATGTTTTGATTTCACCATTAGTAACATTTTTCCAGAATTTAGGAAAAAACCGCTTTCAAATTAGCATTGACAAATCTTGGAGATTTAACAAACTTTAAGCAAACTTTATTGAGCACAAACAATTATTGACGACTTTTAATGCACTGTAATCCACTAAACAGGATTTATGAATTCTCCCACTCTTAATTAAAATCTATAGTTCAATGCAACCATGCAAAGTAAAATGGACTCTAACAAGTAAACAGACCGATATAAATTGATGAACCATTGGAAACCAAAAAGTACCGACCAGATGTTTAGTTTTAGTATGGGATTCCATATCTAATCCTTATCCAGACCAAGATGAAAACTAACTCTGAAATGAACAATCTCCACAAACCGCTTATGTTGCCAAGATGTGTTCCCGTTAATGACCTAGCTTTAAGAAGTATTCTCGAAGTTTTAAAGGAAAACTGATTGATTAAGTGAACTGAACTTAATCCTTGTATCAGAATGCAGACAGATAGTTATGAAATATTGTGAAATGAATGTAGTTAAAAATGTAGACCACTAAACTCAAAACGACAGGCCCAAAACGTATTGCGCTTATCGCAAAACGTAAGCCTTCAGTTGAATTCCTGACATGATTTTAAGTGACTACTACCGAGTTCCAAACAAGAGGTATCTGTCCAGTATCATGTCTTAGTTTTCAATGATTCTGTAACTGATGTTCGTGAGTGGTGGGATCCAAATCCCAATGGAAAATACGTTTTACATCAATTAAATAAACTGACTGCTTATTGTTTATCATTCAAAAGATAAGAATACTTTGTAACAGTTTTAAATGTAAACCCATAAAAAGGCTTAAACTGATAGACAACTACCAGTTGGCACTAATAAACACTGTCATTCAACTCACAGCTTACCGTAAAATCAACGCCAGATACAGTAGAGCACACAAATTGGAACGCATCTTTATTTGGACTAGAAACAATTTTCATATCACGACGTAATAAATTCCATGTAGATAGCCCTGTACAAAGATAATTCATAAATAAAAATGAACAATTATAGAATTAATCGTAACTACGGCTTATATGTAGGGAAATTTTGAGATTTTCCTGCATTTATTTAAAAGTGGTTTTAATTTTTATTAAAGTGTTTTGTTGTGAAGTTTTATTGCACCAACATATTAACACTAGACCTTATATACTTTACACATAACCATGTAGTAATTATATTCTCTTCAAAAGCAATGATGACTAAATGATCTTGAACAATCATCTACTGATTAATGCTACAAATTTAAATACATATGGGCTTAATTCCAATATGAAATATTAAATTACAGTTTTCCAAATCTTCACCCAATAAGTCTAGTTAAGTTTAACATGAAATGGACAAAACGACTGAACCAATAATTCAAAAGTATTTTATCAATGCAAATTCGCTTAGATTATACGATACAACAAGACAAATCAGTTTTTGATTGAGATCATGAAACGATTGATGTTAGACCACCACAATTGAAAACCTGGGAGCACTGGACGGCCGTTTCGTCCTATTGTGGGACTCCTCAGCAGTGCGCATCCACGATCCCGTCCGCGGGACTCGAACCCAGGGCCTTCGGCCTCGCGCGCGAGCGCTTAACCAACTGGACCACTGAGCCGGCATCCAATGGTGATAGTTTCTAACATCAACCAATCCACGAAATTGCGCGACCAACTTCCGTTGTACTGAGGTAGATACCTGTCTCTACCCGACAAGGATTAGCTCCACTGGTCACGGCTTCTCACTAGAACTCCGAGAATTCCCTCAAGAAGCTAGTCACTAGTGAGCACATGTTGATTACTAGTACGATTGATTGACAAGAAACTAGCAGGGAAATAAAGTAAACCAGAGAGACCGGTCAAAGACAAAGAAGGCAGGCCAATCACTGAAATTCAACAACAGCGGAACAGATGGGTAGAATACTTCGAGGAACTCCTGAATAGGCCGGCTCCAATGAATCCACCGGACATCGAAGCAGCGCACACAGATCTTCCTATAGATGTCAATCCACCAATGACGGAAGAAATCAGAACGACCAACAGACAAATCAAGAGCACGAAAGCAGCAGGACCTGACAATATACCAGCTGAAGCACTGAAGTCAGATATCGAAGTAACTACAAACATGCTTCACCTTCTATTCAAAAAGATTTGGGAGGAGGAACAAGTGCCGATGGACTGGAATGAAGGATACCTCAACAAGATTCCAAAGAAAGGAGATCTGAGCAAATGTGAAAACTACAGAGGCATCACACTACTGTCAATACCAGGGAAAGTCTTCAACAGAGTGTTGCTGAACCGGATGAAAGATGCAGTAGACGTCCAACTTCGAGACCAACAAGCTGGATTCCGTAAGGATCGGCCGTGCACAGACCAGATTGCGACACTGCGGATCATCGTCGAACAATCAATTGAATGGAACTCGTCACTGTACATCAACTTCATTGATTATGAAAAAGCATTTGACAGTGTGGATAGGAGAACGTTATGGAAACTTCTTCGACACTACGGAGTTCCTGAGAAGATTGTCAATATTATCCGGAACTCATATGACGGACTACAGTGCAAGGTCGTGCATGGAGGACAGCTGACAGATGCATTTCAAGTAAGGACCGGAGTCAGACAAGGCTGTCTACTCTCTCCCTTCCTCTTTATTCTGGTGGTCGACTGGATTATGAAGACCTCGACATCTGAAGGAAAACACGGAATACAATGGACAGCTCAGAATCAATTAGACGATTTGGACTTCGCAGATGACCTGGCCCTCCTATCTTATTATATTTATTTATTTTATTTTAACACATAGATATTGGTACAAGGAGGCACCAAATACATATGCGCCACACAAATCTCATTCCATATGTGTGAGGGCTGTGATACTGCCCGGGTGCCCGAACCGAAGCAGGAAAAAAGTCCCCATTTCACGAGGCCTCCTATCGCATATACATGAACAAATGCAGATAAAGACAGCCAGTGCAGCAGCATTCTCTGCATCAGTAGGCCTCAGCATACACAAAGGGAAAACCAAGGTCCTCAAATTCAAAGCGAAGAACAGCGATCCAATCACTCTTGATGGCGAAACTCTGGAAGATGTAGAATCCTTCACATACCTGGGAAGCATAATCGATGAACAAGGAGGATCAGATGCAGACGTAAAGGCAAGGATGGGCAAAGCAAAGACAGCATTCCTACAGTTGCAGAACATATGGGACTCAAAACAACTTTCAACCAATATCAAAGTCAGAATCTTCAATACGAATGTCAAGGCAGTTCTACTGTACGGAGCTGAAATTTGGAGAACTACAACAACCATCATCAAGAAGGTGCAAGTATTTATAAATAGCTGTCTACGCAAGACACTCAACACCGATTGGTCGGATACCATCAGCAACAGCCTTCTGTGAGAGGAACAGGCCAGCCCCCAGCTGAAGAGGAAGTTAGGAAAAGACGATGGAAATGGATAGGACATACACTACGCAAATCGTCAAACTGCATCACGAGACAAGCCCGAACTTGGAATCCTGAAGGAAGGCGGAAAAGAAGAAGGCCAAAGAACACATTACGTCGGGAAATAAAAGCAGATATGGGAAGGATGAAAAACAACTGAAAGGAGCTGGAAAGGATTGCCCAGGACAGGGTTGGATGGCGAATAATGGTGAGCGGCCTATGTTCCTTCACGAGGAGTAACAGGCGTAAGTGAGTAAGTAAGTAAGTAAGTAAGTAATCCATATGATGGAGGTGTAGTTGTATTGATTTTAACTTCACGATACTCGAAACTGAAAATATTTTATTTGGGGAAATTCATATTCAACATCTAAAACGGAGAGAAAGTCAGCAATGGTAAACGCGGAGACAATTAATCGAAATGGCATGATCCCGTCATGTATGCTTGATCACTCTCCGTAACCTCTTGCTTTTTGCGTTGAACATATTACTCTCTTTCCAGCTCAAATGAGTTCTTTAGAAGTGCTAGACGTCATATCGCTGACTGTCACGACAGGACGAGCTAGTGTAGACTATGATTTGACTTACGTATAAGATCTTATAGGTTATGTGGTGACATCAGGACAAATTTACAACCGTCGAACTTCAGTATCAAACAATCAAAATGAGTGGGATTGCACGGGTAGCTGCCCTCTGTACTTTTCCTAGGATATCCAAGTCACCTTTTAAACAGGGGGCTACAGCATGAACACATTTCTCAAGCTCAGTTCTCACTAAGAATGTGTATACTGTGGTGAACATGGTAGTATCTAACTTAGTGAATGTCCGTTTTAAGGCCCAGAGGGTTCGAAACCCCTTAGCTGCGACCTCCCGGCGATGGGACGTCGTCTTAAGACCATGACTCATTGTCACCTCGACTGCCTTGTGGATCAGACCTTCAGGTCGAAGGCTCCGGGTGTGGCCCCCTAAGAAAACCACCTGCTTCGGTTTTGTCACCGGGGGAGTATTACGGCCCTCACACATATCAAATGAGATGTGTATGGCGCATATGTATTTGGTGCCCCCTTGTACCAATATCTATGTGTTAAAATAAAATAAATAAATATATATTCACACGATTACTGAAATTAAGATGAAAATACATAAAAAATCGTTCCAGTATTTTGTACGGTGTGATGAGAACTCCTTATCGTACCAAACATAAAGTACTGAATAAGTCGATTATTATTAACATCAGTCAACTGATACAATAGAAACCCTTAAATATTGAGCTTGATCAACACAAGGCATCTATTTACATCCCTCGATCTAACATTTAGAATATGTCTAATAAAGGGTATACTCACAAGATAAATGTGCTGAATGCCTAGTATTTTGATCAGATCTTTTGATTGCAAATCGAGTTTGCCATTATCAGCTAAGACGTGCATAATCGTGACAAAAGTATCAAGAAATTTTAATACATTGTTTATACCTCCCAACTGTGGAATATGTATTCAAAAAACTAACAGCAAATTATCGTCTAAAATCAAACACATTAACTTCATGAGATTCCTTTCGTAAATAACATCTGCAAACTTAACTCTTTTGAAATTATCTGATATTTTAAGAACTATAAAAAAGTTTGGTACTTTCAAAAAGTACAGAAATAATTTCTGATTGTTATATTTGAGCACTGAACTCTTATAATCAAGAATCGCACAACAAGCCCATCGTAATGAGTCCAAAATGTTTTAGTTGGTTTATCAACTTAAGCAACTATGTTAATGGCCTGATCATTATCACCATTTAAAAACCCATACAACGATAGTGTAAACAGTCATGTGTCCACTTAACCGCTAAGAGCTAAGTATACTATTTAGTTGATTATAAGATATGCTGAACGATTCTTTCTGAATACTTTGCATCAAATGATTTGATCAGTGAATAACCTGTGTATCTAATAATAATATTACCATCAACAGTAAATTTTGCTGTTTCCAGTTGAGTAAATAAGGAATTTCTTGAAACATTTGGAGTGAAAATCTGATTGTAAATGATATCTTCGATACGATTAGCCATGCGAAGATCTAATTCTGTTAATCGTCCAGCCATTTGACCAGCATTAGAAAGTCCGATTGTATCAATAAGTATGGCACCTACAAAAATGTAACATTAAGTACACATACATTTTAAAAGTACCGTAAAGCAACTTCCATACATTGCTTGGTAAATAATTACCATCCATTCCTTTCAAAATTTCGAATGTGATTAGAGTGGCACAGGATCCGACAAGATCAATTTGCTTAAAAGGACAATTTTCAACGGTTTCAGTATTAACTAACTGATGATGATCAATTATTTCAATGGTTGGCCATTCATTAAACTTTTTCGTTGGTAAATGATGATCAACTAGAATTAAAAATAATTCATTTTCCTTCACTTTTGAATAGGTTTCATTGAAAACATCATCAAGATAAATCAACTCTTCCCATTTGAGACCACATTGAGTAAGCCAAAAGGTAACTTCAGTGCGCAAAACCATATCTTCTCTATTGATACTACATACAGGTATAACAATGAACTCATTTTCAAGCTTCTACATAAATATATATAAGAGAGGAATAAGTAATTCAACTTACCATTTGTTTATAAAATCCATAGGCAAGTGCACATGCTGTACTATCTAGATCACATGCTTCATTTCCAACAACAAGAATCCATTTACTTTTACAACTTGAATGCTAAAAATATCGAACAATAATAATTATCTTAAATCAAATCGAAATTTAACTATCGTGTTCAATAATACAAACAAAGAATAACTCACAAGGGCTTCAGCTGCATGACGTAAAAATGAATCCATTGCATCACATATTCGACATGAGACTAAAATTGATAAACAGGGATGATTAGTTGAAATGAAGGTTCCACGTTTAAAATAAAAGAACAAAGGCTCGCATGGAAACGAAAAGAGAAAAAAGCTTCGGAATACGGGTAATCACTAAGACCAATAATTTGGTAAGGGTGGGACGACAATACCGTTTTTATGGGAAGTTTAAAAAAAACAACTTGTTTTCAATTAGAACAGTCAGGTATATCAAATTTACGTAATAATCTAGGATACAAACAACCTCATTTGAAAGCTGGCCCTTGATAAAATCGCCAAAAGACTAAAGCAGTGTAAGGAATATTTTTTTGAATCGATGAGGTTTTGAAAAAGTTCCATGTCGATTTTGGTTGTAAATTATTAATCTTTTATACTGTGTTTGCAATTGTGTTGAAGCTATTCAATTTAGCCACATTACGATAATAATCGTGAATTTTGTGGGATATAAAAGCCTCGGATAGATATCATTCTTAGGACTCGTTTTAGGAATCGCGTCCTTTAATGGGGTGAAGATTTTCAGCAGTCATGTCTTAAGAATTATACTTTACCAGACACCAATCATTAGGTCTGATCAGGAACGTAGAAAGTATAAAACATTTAGTTGCATAAATAATGTGTTCCACCTAATTCATTTGATGCAAGTTTATGACTATCGAATGAACTACTTCCCGTGTGAAAAACTTTGAAATCTCCCATACATTGGTTATATCACACAAAAGTGATGCTTAAATGTTACTGCCACTTGAAATCAAGTATTGTCTTAGGATTGATAATAAGAAATAGTGGATTGTCCTGCAGTATTCATTTTGGTTGACGAGCGAACAGATAATTTAGCAACCATATAAACAAATATCTACACCAAAAATTTGCCTGAACAGCATTAAAAGCGGACACAACCAACTGCTTGAATTCCTGCCCAAACCAGCTGGTACGCAGACATTAAGCCTTGAAGATTTGAGTACAATTAACAACATAAACTAAAACACAAACTTGAGAAAACGCATACAACAGTGATTAGTAGCAAAATCCCCTCATTTCGTTGTTCTTTCAACGAGCCATGGAATAAAAGGAAACCTATGATAGGTCCTGATGAAATGCTCATCATTTAAATCCTTGTTCATCTTAATAATTACGTCAAAAAATGAGTGGGTAATTTATTACCACTGATTCTTCGCAAGAATTAACTAGCATCTAGTTACTGTATAAGATTTCAATAGTGATGTCTCAATACTACTTGTAGACTTATCTTGTTTGAAATCGATAGAGGTTACTAGTGGAATCCAAGACATAATTTATCCAACTTGAAGATCGTTAGATGAATGTATCTATATTTTTATGTTGAAATTACTACTGAGATTATATCTTAGAGTACATTGTCTTTAAATTAATATTAACTAGACAAACATTAACAGTGTTTGCCACTGAGCAACAAAGTTGTTATGGCTATTTGTTCAACGAGTATCAGTTGTTAATATGTCTTATACTTACCTTTTGCCCATTTTTTGAGATAATTTGATGGAAGTAGAGTGGACTACTCCCTAAACATGAGATGAGCTTTACCTAATTCGTGTAAGGTATATTATGACTCGAAAAGTACGCTGTATAAAAATAGAAAATACCGCAACTTTTTGAGACGATACCAAAACTAGAACCACATGACATTAAGAATAGCTACCTAGTTACAGCTAGTTAGTACATAGGCTTTAAAAATGTGACCATTGATATAAGTTAGTGCTCCATAAGGCTCTTGTACCTAGATAACTAAATACGATAAATATTGTTCAAAGCATCTCAAATCCACTTACAGTCTGTACAGAAGTGAGTGGTGGATTTTAGACCTTTAATCCTAGCAGACCACAGCAAGGCCCAGTGTAGTGGACAAATCAACCGTAATGACTGTATCTATTTTAGATTTGGTGGTCGATAAGAACCGACATATATTTTATTATATTTGACCGTTTGAATGATTTTAAAGCTATTACATCCATTCCGGAATTTTGTATTATTGTTATTCATTATATTGAACACATAGACATTGGTACACGGGGGCATCAAATAAATATGCGCCACAAAATAACAATGAGGCCACTAGCAGTTATCATTGATTTGTGTGAGGGCTGTGATATTACCCGGGTGCCCAGACTGAGGCAAGTGGTTTTCTTAGGGGGCCACACCCGGAGCCTTCGACTTGAAGGTCTGATCCACAAGGCAGTGGAGCGACGTAAGGAGATGCAGTCCCATGGTAGCCGGTGACCAACGATTGTTTCATACGCCATTTGTCCCTTCAGGATATTGGAGCCCATGTGCACCATTGGTTTGGAATCAAGGTTTTCCAAACCCTATGTGGACTCTCCGTATCCACCGACCCGGTTAGAGCGCCGAACGTTCGCTTTTCGTCCTCTCAATTTTGTAAACAACACCCTCACCATGAGAAGGCAGTGAGTAGGACTTCCCTGGCAGGGGTTATATACGCGTGGCCATATGAAAGCATTTCGAGAGGGGGAGTGGACTTTCCCCACCCTCGGCCGTACCAGGGCATTTGTATAACTATACATTTCAAAACAGTTGGCACACAATAATGTCATGACTTCACTGTCACTGCAGTGACACTAACACAACAAGTAGGTCATTTACATGTGTCAAAAGTTAGTAGTTTCAAGACTATTCTGGAGTTTGCAAAACACTTTAAATGAATGACCTAAAGTTGACCCAGACATTAACTATTATACGTGTGCCAGTCAGTCAGTAACAACGTAGAACTTCGTACGTACGTGTGTGGCTGACAATGGTTATGATGGTACAAACAGTCCATTTTGGAAACGGAAACTACTACCCAACCTCGTTAGTCTCTTCATCCCGATCTCGCTATTTTCGAAAAATTTTTATCTGTACAGATAACGAAAAGCGTTTTTCGTAAATTCTGAGGGAGCTGCAATAAAATATTTTGGAAGAAAAGTACAAAAACACCAAAATTTCCCCAGAATTCCTCAAGGTTTCCCCAAAATAAGGAGCTTGGAACAAACCCTCCAGAGTCTACTTGCAGGATCAGTACACCTTGGGAATTTGTTAGCAAGCTGTGACTACATATTATCCGATCTAATAAACTTTATCATGTCACTAGGTAATCTCATATGCATATATATTTGGTGCCCTCTCGTACAAAAAATTGTGTTCAAATAAAATAATAAACCCTAAGTCTCTGCCAAGTATTGATAAATATTAGTGTAATTTTAAAACTTTCAGCAGTATTTACTAGTGATGTTATATGACAATTCTAATTTGCTTCATAAGTATCGAACAACCCTTTAGCAAACTTTTAGACCAATACGAGGTGCAAAACGAAAATACCACTAGTAGTTGAATCTGGCCCTATCAATGTTCGATAAATAAAATATATCCCGGACCTTTTCTTATATGAGTACGGTATGATACTTCGAAGTCGATAATTATTGTATTAGAGACCATTCTTTTGTTTGGAACTTGAATACAACTATATTCCAAAGCCTTCAGGTGACCCATATGAAACATGGGCCATGAAGAGTTAATCAGCTTGCAACTGAGCATAGCACCACCGGTAAGGTCAACTTGACGATTGATAACATCTATGTTTAGTACATTTGGATTGTATGGGTTGGGATATTTAAATTGTACAGAACTGACAACATCATGCCAGGGATGTCTATAAAAGGTTTAATATCTTTTAAAGCGTAGCGTACTTGATAACAAACTTCTCTGACCAACGGCGAGTGTCTGACAGCATAACTATTTGCAGGAGGGTATGTCTTCACGCGTTTCTAGTTGTGAAAACACCGAAGATAAAAGATGACACAATTCAGTGGAGATGCATGAAACTACGATTATATTGCGGAACTAGGAGGAACAGATTCAGATTCAGATTCATACAATATAGGGGAAGTGCCATTTCCCGTGGTCCGATCTCATAAGGATCTCGAGGTGACAATGAGTCATGGTCTTAAGACGACGTCCCATCGCCGGGAGGTCGCAGCTAAGGGGTTTCGAACCCTCTGGGCCTTAAAACGGACATTCACTAAGTTAGATACTACCATGTTCACCACAGTATACACATTCTTAGTGAGAACTGAGCTTGAGAAATGTGTTCATGCTGTAGCCCCCTGTTTAAAAGGTGACTTGGATATCCTAGGAAAAGTACAGAGGGCAGCTACCCGTGCAATCCCACTCATTTTGATTGTTTGATACTGAAGTTCGACGGTTGTAAATTTGTCCTGATGTCACCACATAACCTATAAGATCTTATACGTAAGTCAAATCATAGTCTACACTAGCTCGTCCTGTCGTGACAGTCAGCGATATGACGTCTAGCACTTCTAAAGAACTCATTTGAGCTGGAAAGAGAGTAATATGTTCAACGCAAAAAGCAAGAGGTTACGGAGAGTGATCAAGCATACATGACGGGATCATGCCATTTCGATTAATTGTCTCCGCGTTTACCATTGCTGACTTTCTCTCCGTTTTAGATGTTGAATATGAATTTCCCCAAATAAAATATTTTCAGTTTCGAGTATCGTGAAGTTAAAATCAATACAACTACACCTCCATCATATGTTAAAGTCAATAACAATCAGGTTACATTTCTGAGGTTCCGCCGGCCTCTCTACCGGAAGCGGTAAACGTAATACAGGTGATGGCAAAATTGTTGAATCTAATCTCTCTCACAACACAACTCTTACCGTACCCAATCCCATGAGTATTCATGGAAATACTACCTGTGATCTATACTGTGACTTTCTTCTTTCATTCAATGCCCACTCTCTCTCCAATAAAGTTAGTCATCTTCAAACCCCTTTGTTCCTTGTAAATCCAACCATTATTTTAATACTACAGGAACGTGGTGCAGACGATCCATGTCTGAGCACTCCTTATACGTGGACAACTACGTTTTCCTTTGATCCGATAGGCGCTATGGAATAGGTGGTGGTACAATTATCTATGTCCGTCTGAACATTTAAGCGTGTAAGTTTAAAAATGAATGTCTTAATTTTTTAGATGACGGCAGTTACCTTAAATTGTGAGTCGCAAAGCTACCTACTGATGGTATGTATATACAAACCACCCCATACGGATATCAACCTCGCAAACTGTTAGCAAACATGATTTTCATTGTTTCGCATCAACCGCATGCGTTTAAAATCATCGGAGGTGATTTTGATCTACTGAACATCACACAAAATTCGAACTCGGTATTAGGACCATATAACAAGTTAGTTAAACCAACAGAATATTTGGATTAGTCCAACAAGTCTGAAAGGCGGCTAGGGGGAATAATATACTTGATTTAATATTTGCAATCAACATCGACCCTAATTCAATGCAGGACTGTCATGAATGTTTTGAGTGGTCATAGAGTCACACTGAGTATTACTCATATTATATCACAGGACTCTAAGGCCACGAAAATGTACCAGAGCATGTAGTTTAGTCAACAAACACGGAAGCGCGATGAAACTCTTATACAATGTTACGACGGGAATAAAATTTAACCACAAGTAACATTGACACCGAGGTTTCCGACTTATACCATATTCTGACGTATTGCCTTGACTGCACTGCTCCATTTGTCAACCATGTGAGTTATGATGATAATAAGGTCCAATAAACATATAACACTTTTAGGAGAAAGCTCGAAATATTGAGGCACGCTACAACAAACACCATGACGTATATGCGCTTCAGAGCATACTCACATTGGTTGACAGTAATGAATCATCTTATTGCAAGTATCTTACGACTATGGAGAACAAGTCTTGGTGTGGCACAAACCCATACTTATCACAAAGTCGGCTTCTCAAATCTCTCTTGAAACCAAATTCTCTAAATACAACCAGATTCTTCTTATTTAACGGCAGCTTTGCGGACAAACCTGATACTACATGTGAACAATTCAACCACCATTTCTCGTGATGCTGTAACACAAAAACTGTAACGTCTATCATTAGGCTTCCAATGTTGACACTTAAGAATCTATCCACGATTGATTTCGCATCACCAACACCAAGTAGGCCATATCTGCCTTGCTAAAGTTTTATGACGGTGGACCTGAAGAGATTCCTATACGGTAGTAGAGAATTTCGATTGCTGTTTAAAACTGTTTAATCTGTCTATGGATTATGGAGCCCATTTGTAGTGTTATTGGTCCTAACCACATAATCCTCAAAGCTGAACAGGAAATAACCGGGAAATATACATTCAACATTTAACACAGAAAGAAGGCCAACAGTGGTGAACGCGAGAATATTCATGCTATCAATCGGATATCATGGCTCAACCTCGCAAGCATGGCCACTCTCTATGACTTGTCTTTATTTGCCGTAAATATATTATCCTGTCCCCAGACTAAATGTGTTCTTCAGAAATACTTAGTATCATAATTTTAATTATTACGGTATGATGAGTCAGTGACTTCCACATAAGATCGTATAGAGTAGGTAGATACATCATGGAAATTCTGTACCTTAGGATTAGGTCAATTACTATAGCAGTACTACAGAAGAACTAGACCATAATTCTGCAGATTCACCAAAGCATTTCGGGACATTCCGACAACATGGATTACCACGACTCAAGTAAAAACCTCTCTGAATCAAGCCCATTAAATCAAACTTTGTCTTCATCTACAGGCCTACAAGTAATAGTTCTTACTTTTCGGCATCCACCCTTTTGTATTCTATCATATCGTTTCACAACTGGTGCGATGAGGAAAATATTTTATCGATTCCAAGAACCTACACAAACACCCTAGCATTTCCTCGTCATTAGCTGTACAACCATGTGAAACAAACCTATAGTAAAACTCCGTTGCAGCGAAACTGTGACATGATTCAGAAGTCTACTTGATGGTTTTCTTTCCGAAGGTCATTATTATATATCAGTGTGATCACCAATGGTTCATACAATCAAGGTCCGATGTATATCTAAATGCCAGTAAAGCAGGGTAGAACTGAGGAAATTACATTAGTTTGTTTTCTTTCTTCTCATCCAAATAACCGACGTCCGTTAATGTTCATATTTATTATTGTTCTCATATCGCTTACCATGTTTAGCAATCACCTTCCCATTTTGCCACCTGTGAGTTGAAAACTGATTCATGCAGATGATTGTTAGAATTTGTGTGAAGAACTCTGACTTCTGCGTAGGTGCCGATGAGACAGCGAACTTTTGTCATCTCGTCAGTGAAGTACAATAGACGGCTATGTTCGCCGGCTACGGTCGCTGTTAACGCGTGCCGGTTGGGGAGCTTCCCGAAAGAGTTTTCGTGTCGGTTGGTTTGGAGCTCGAAAAACTGCAAAGTTTTCTGCAGTTTCGATGAGATTTACCATACTTACTATGGTACCAGCACTAATCACGGTTACTTGTCTCTCGCGATTTAGAGACAGGTCGTTCCAGTGAAGAACGTTGAGTTTGGGAGCGTCTACATCCATGATGAATATTCAGGTAACGTGTCAGAGTATGACAGAGTTCTGCAACATCATTTAGTTTCGTTTCATGTTTTCATTTGACTGAATAGACCTCGGCGTTGAAACGTCAGGTGATCTCTTGAATTAGGTCAGCAGGTGAAGTCAGAGCGTCTACAGTGTTACTTTGAAATCAGAGCACTGCCTGCACCTGTTGGGGAAGCTAAGACAAGAAAAGTTGAATAAACAGACTATAGTCAAAGGTCCGTTAATCAATAACCTCTCTCATTCGTAACAACATGTCTGCTGCTGAGCCATGTTGTAGATCGACGTTATTGAGTGGTCAATCTAAACTTTATCGATATGTTAAATGGTCCAAATGGTTCAAATGGTTGTGGACGGAATAGAAGAAGCTTTCGCTTAACAGGCTTCCGTGTCTAGTAGCAGGGGATCACCAAATCCTCCAGGCAGGAACCTAGGTATGTTAACAATAAAAGAGGAAAAGAAATTGGTAAATCATAGTGTGATGCTGTCCTTGGTCCTTAAGAATAGGTTAAGTTGCCTCTTGAAGGACTCCTGAGAAGTCGCTTGGACTAGCTCGGCTGGCAGCGAATTCCAGATTTTGACAACTCTTAAGGAGTAGAAGTTGTGTCTACATTCCGTCTTGCTATGTTGTGTTTCCAGTTTCTGGGTGTTACCCCTAAGTTTATTATTCGAACTAAGCTTAAGTAGGTGTTTAAGAGGATGTCCAGAAGTGTTAAGAATACTATAAGCCATTAATAAGTCACCTCTAAGACGCCTATACTCTAATGGGTAAAGATCTATTGAATGGAGGCGTTCTTCGTAAGGTTTAGATTTGAGTCCTCGAACTGATTTCGTGGCTCGCCGTTGGATACGCTCCAAAGTGACCTTGTCCTTTTGGAGTGAGGGAGGGAGTACTATGTTTCCGTACTCTAAATGGGGACGGATGAAACTATTGAAGATTGTATGGAAAGTTCGTCCGTCAAACTGTCCAAAAATGCGCTTCAACGTTACCAGTGCAAGGTTTGCTCGGAAGGCATTTTTGTCACAGTTAGCGTAAGACTTTAAATCATTGGGCACCAGGACTCCTAATTCTTTTTCGACTTGGGATACTACTAGAGAGGCGTTTCCTAAGTTGTAACTGTAGTTTGCAACATGTCGCAGATGGACTACTTTACACTTTGAAGTGTTAAAGGTAAGTCCGTTATCGTCTGCCCAACTTTGAAGTCGAGTGAGATCCTCCTGAAGTGCCTGTATATCGTCTTGGTTGCGTATCTCTCTCCAAAGTTTCACGTCGTCGGCAAAAAGT